TTTTTCGTTATCCATACCTAAACAAAAAATATTTTAATGAAGGAAAATACCATACAAATAATCAATTTGCATAATATCCAATCAACTTGCATAATATCCAATCAACTTGCATAATATCCAATTAATTTGCATACCATCCAATCATTGTGCTAATATCTAACAAATGCATGATAAAAAGGAATACTAAAATAAAATGTTATCATTAACACATATAGCTAGTTCGGTTGCTGGTTCCTAATTGCTCTCCACTCATTATACATTTCCTGAGTCATATCATTCCTCATTGCAGTCCACTGGTCCGATGTTTGAACACTACCAACATATTCACCTTCTTCTGTATTTTGTCTATCTTCTATTATTGGCAAATTCTCCATTGGATCTACAGACATCTCTTGCCTAATAAGATTGTGTAGTAGGCAACAAGCGGTAATTATTCGACCTTGTGTCCTTATCGGATAGAAAGATGGACTCCTTAGTATCGACCACCTTCCTTTTAGCAAGCCAAAACAACGTTCAATTACATTCATTGCCTTAGAATGCTTCATGTTAAAATATTCTTCCTTATTAGAAGGTGTTCGTCCCTCCCATTCAGATAAATGATAAGGTATTCCTCTATAGGGTGCAAGGAATCCTTCACCATTTGTATAAAACCACCATCTACAAGGTAATAACAACCTAATGAAAAAAAAAAAACAGACCTTATTAGTGTTTTGTAGTTGACAAACAGAACTAAACCTAACTTACAAAGTTGAGACTAAGTAATAGTCTTACCCGCTGGTACCTTAAAACCATTAGGCCTACTAATTGCATCATGTAGCACTCTAGAGTCTGATGCGGAACCCTCCCACCCAGGAAACACATATATGAACTGCATATCTCCTGAACACACACCTAACACATTAGTTGCGACTCGACCCTTTCTTGTTCGGTATCTTGGTTTGTCAATTTCAGGTACATGCACATCAATGTGTGTTCCATACAATGCTCCCAAGCAATTCTTAAAAATAAAAAATAAAAAAGTTTTTGTTAATTTATACAAAGGGAATGAAGAGTTAAAGCTTAGGGAAAATGAAAAAAAATTCTCATCATACCTTAAAACATCGCCACCTAGGATCTGTAGAATCAATAGGCACAGGCTGGGGGACTTTTAGTAGGATACCTTGTAATCGCAAAATTCCTTGCAATACGCTATTGAAATACCTACTTATAGTCTCTCCCGACCTATAAAATCTACCGCCAACACTACGATTCTTAGTATGATGTGCTAATATTTGTAAGTCATACACATCTGTTCCTCTACAGACACCAAACCATCAGTTTTTACCCTCCCATCTTGACGAAGTAAATCGCATAATATGCCAAAAGTCCTTCTATCCATTCTCAATTCGTTGACACATTCAGTATCAGTATTCCCTATTATACCATTCAGATAACACAAACTAATCTCTCGTCTAATAAGTGAACGGTTAGTCAATGTGGGTCGTTCAACATGTCTCTGTTTGCCACGTAGCATCATCACCACAAGAATCGTACAAATACAAATTGTCTCCAAATAAGACATCTCTAACAATAAGATCAATAAAAGCTTCCTTCGATCCATATCTATCCAAACAAAAAAAAAACAATAGTATGAGGATTGCTATCATTCCTAGGCATTGCATGTGAAGAGGGAAATTAAAGGACACCTGTAATGCAGTAGCCTTAGCCTTAGCCTTCTGTTTATGCTCCTCTTCTCTGCAACAAACAACCACAAAAAATTGCAATTCAGCATCAACCCCACACCATACAAAACATTCACATTGTAATATCATGGTACATACACACACACTCATGGACAAATGTGCAAAATACACATACATACTCACACTCACACTCACACTAACACACACACACGGACATACACACTCTCACACACTGACATAGACTCACACACACCCTGCATACATACATACACACACACACACACACACACACACACACACTGCACACACACACACACTGCATACATACACACACACACACACACACACACTGCATACATACCGCATACATACACACACACACACACACTGCACACACTGCATACATACATACTCATACTCATACACACACTGCACACACACACACTGCATACACACACTGCACACACACACTGCATACATACACTGCACACACACACACTGCATACATACTCATACATACACTGCACACACACACTGCACACACTGCATACATACATACTCATACTCATACACACACTGCACACACACACTGCATACACACACTGCACACACACACACTGCATACATACACTGCACACACACATGCACTACACACACATACACTGCACACACACAACACTGCATACATACCGCATACATACACACACACACACACTGCATACACACTCACACACACACTGCACACACACACACACTGCACACACACACACTGTGCATACATACCGCATACATACACACACACACACTGCATACATACCGCATACACACACACACACTGCACACTGCATACATACTGCATACATACACACACACACACACTGCACACACACACACACTGCATACACACACACACTGCACACACACTCACAGTCACACACACTCACACTCACACTTACACTCACACTCACACACACTCACACTCACACTTACACTCACACTCACACACTGCACACAGTCACACACACACACACACGGGGACAGAGTGCAACACACTCTTACCCTCACACACACACTCTGTTTTTATACTCACACACACACACATTGCATACATACATACATACACACACACACACACACTGCACACACACACACACTGCATACACACTCACACACACACTGCACACACACACACACACTGCATACACACACACACTGCACACACACTCACACTCACACACACTCACACACACACACACACTCACACTCACACACTGCACACATTCACACACACACACACACACACTGCACACACACACACACACACACTGCACACACACTGCACACTGCATACATACTGCATACATACACACACACACACGAGGACAGAGTGCAACACACTTTTACCCTTACACACACACTCTGTTTTTATACTCACACACACACACACACACACACACACACACACTGCATACATACTCACACACACACACTGCATACATACACACACACACACACACACACACTGCACACACACACACACACTGCACACACACACACACTGCATACATACACACACTGCATACATACTGCATACATACACACACACACACACACACACACACACTGCACACACACACACTGCATACACACACACACCATACATACACACACACACACACACACTGCACACACACACACACACCATACATACACACACACAACACTGCACACACACACACACACTGCAATACACACACACACTGCACACACACTGCACACTGCATACACACACACACACTGCACACACACACACACACTGCATACATACACACACACACACTGCACACACACACACACACTGCATACATACACACACACTGCACACACACACATACACTGCATACATACTGCATACATACATACATACACACACACACACACACACACACACACACACACACACACACACACACACACTGCAACACACACACACTGCATGCATACATACTGCATACACACACACACACACACACACACACTGCATACACACACACACACACACACATACAACACACACACAACACACTGCATACATACATACACCACACACACACACACACACACACACACACACACACACTACATACATACACACACACACACTGCATACATACACACACACACATTGCATACACACACACACACACACACATTGCACACACACACACACTACATACATACACACACACACACACACACACTGCATACATACACACACACACATTGCATACACACACACACACACATTGCACACACACACACACTACATACATACACACACACACACTGCATACATACACACTGCATACATACACACACACACACACACACATTGCATACACACACACACACACTGCATACATACACACACACATTGCATACACACACACACACACATTGCATACACACACACACACACACACTGCATACATACATACACACACACACACACACTGCATACATACATACACACACACACTGCATACATACACACACACACACACACATTACTGCAAATTCAAAAGAACCAGAGTAAGAGTGAGAGACAGAGAGAGAGAGGGTTACTTTGACTGGGATCGAACAGGGGAGGAGGAGGGGCGATTTGGTTGGAGTGTTCCTGAGATGTCGCCTGAGAAGAAGGTGGAGGAGCAGGGCGAGCAGGATCTGCAATTTGACCCTAAAAATCAAAACTCTAATTTGTTCAACTACAGAGGTATATTATTGAAAATTTCTCAAACCCAAAATAATTAAATCAAATAAAGCTTAGTAATATCACGATCTGCAAAACAAATTGAAGAAATAAATCGAAGATTCGAAGTTTACCAGGCAAGAGGAGCAGATAAGGGCGAGCAAGATGCAGATGAAGGCAAGCAAGACGCAGAGATGAGGGTGAAGAGGACGAGGATGAGGGAGCAAGGCAAGCAGGGAGCGATGGCGACAACTCTCTCTCTCGCAGGATGAGCGAGGTTTTCTCTCGCGGAAGGTCTTGCGAGTCCGGCCGAATTTGGGGTTCTCGGCTAAGAACTCCTAGCGAACCCATTAATCCGAGCGAGTCCCATTTAATCCCATTAAACCTAATCCTGGTGCAGAACAAACAAGGGACTACAATCTAGTCCAATCCAGTCCCCCCTAATCCGGTCAAACAAACGGGTCCCTAGAGTCTCTATCAATTATTAAAGCTCCACGTCTCTTCAAAATTCTTGTAGTTTCGTCACCTCTCGATCACACTACCCTATATATATATATGTATGTATGTATGTATGTATGTATATGTGTGTGTGTCTCTTCCCGTGGCTTAAAAATATATAATCATCAGATCACTTCCTTTAGTCAAAACACCAACCACAAAAAAGAGTCAAATTTTGAAAGAATGGTTTATTCTCAGCAGCACAGAAGCATTAGTATTCTTATGCTTCCATGGCTAGCCCACGGTCACATTTCTCCCTTCCTCGAGCTAGCCAAGAAGCTCACCCACAAGAGAAACAATCTTCACTTCTACATTTGTTCCACGCCTGTGAATCTCACCTCCATCAAGCCCAAACTCTCTGAAAAATACTCCCACTGCATTGAGTTTGTGGAACTCCATCTTCCGCACGATGAGTTGCCTGAACTGCCACCTCACTACCACACCACCAATGGCCTCCCTCCCCATCTCATGTCCACTCTCAAAAAGGCCTTCGACATGTCCAGCAGCAACTTCTCCAACGTCCTCCAAACCCTAAAACCAGATTTGCTCATTTATGATTTTCTCCAACCATGGGCACCCTCTCTAGCTTTGTCGCACAATATTCCGGCCGTTGAGTTTTGTACCATTAACGCTGCCACCATTATTTCAATTTTCGCTAACCATTTCAAGAATTCCAGTCTCAAATTTCCTTTCCCAGGAATCCATCTTCGGGATTACGAGATCAGAATGTTCAAAAATCAGGTGGAGTTTTCATCAAATGGCCTAAAGGACGGAGACCGCATACAGCAGTGCAGTTCTAGTTCTTGCAATATCATTTTGGCGAAGACATCCAGAGAGATTGAAGCGAAATATATCGATTATCTCTCTGATTTAGTCGGGAAGAAGATTGTGCCTGTTGGTCCACTAGTTCAAGACCCACTGGACCAAAAAACCGACGAGGAGTCTCCGATCATCCAGTGGCTGAACAAAAGGGAGAAGTCTTCGGTTGTGTATGTTTCCTTTGGGAGTGAGTACTTTTTGTCCAAGGAGGAAATAGAAGAGATAGCTCATGGGTTAGAGCTCAGCAAAGTGAGTTTCATTTGGGTTATTAGATTTCCCAAGGAAGACAAAACCACTAAAGTTGAAGAAGTATTGCCAAAAGGGTTTGTAGAGAGGATGGGAGAGAGGGGAATGATAGTGGAGGGTTGGGCACCACAAGCAAAGATATTGCAACACCCTAGCGTCGGTGGGTTTGTGAGCCACTGTGGATGGAGCTCTGTGTTGGAGAGCATCAAGTTCGGCGTTCCAATTATAGCCCTGCCAATGCAACTTGACCAACCAGTAAACGCCAAACTGGTAGAGGAGGTCGGCGTGGGTGTGGAGGCTAGGAGAGCAGAAGGTGGTGGTTTGCAACGAGAAGCGATTGCAGAGGCGATCGGAGATGTGGTTGTGAAGAAAATTGGAGAGGGCGTGAGAATGAAGGCACTGGAAGTAAGAGACAACATGAAAGAGATTGAGGATGAAGAGATAAATGACGTGCTGGAGCAGCTGGAGCAGCTGGTGCAACTATGTGCATAGAGCATATGCGAAATGGACACAATATATAAAACAGCTTTACGTACGTATGTATCAGTTTAATTTGAAGGATTATATGGTACGTCTACTTCTGTTTTGGTGTTTTTTTCTTTCTTTTTTGTAATGGATAACCTGGAATGCATTCGTACAAAACGTAATAATTTTCCAGATTATGCATTTGCTCCACGGTGTACCAAATATTGTGTGACGTTATTGTTGTAATAAAAAGAGAATTTCCTTACATTATTGAGTCCTATAATTACATTGGATATTCATCCATTATATACAAAACTAGTCTCTCCAATAACAAACAACTATTGAGTCCTATAATTACATTGGATATTCATCCATTATATACAAAACTAGTCTCTCCAATAACAAACAACTATTGAGTACTATAATTACCTTGGATATTCATCTATTATATACAGAGCTAGTCTCTTCTATAATAAACAACTTGATAGGATAAATATCCTCGAATTGAAAAACAACAACAACAACAATAATAATATAAATAACCTGAAAACTTTTCCATCCTCCCGTGTCCCCCACCAGGTCCTCCTTCTTTCCCATTCTCTACCTTCTCCACCTTTAACCTCATCTCTCCTCTCTAAGTGCTATTTTGCCCCATCTCTTTAATGATGGTGGTTGGCCACATCTCCCCAAAGATGGTGGTTCACTCCAATCCTCTTTCAATGGCGGTTGTGAGCTTGAATTTCATCTCAATTGGGGAACTGGACTTTTCCTGTGTTGATTTTCCTCTAATTGCCCACTGTTTCTTGCCAATATGCACCAGATTTTCTTTAGCCCCAAACCCACAAATCCTTTATTAAGGGTAAAAATGTAATACAGTTAGTAATATAGTTAGGTAGTTAGTATTTGGTTAAAGTGGTTAGGATTTCTATATAAACAGTATGTGTAATCTTCATTTGATTAGTGAATACAAATCCTATTTCTCTCTAAACTCTCTCTCTCTAATATCTCTGTGTTCATCCTTCTCTTCATCCATTGTTCTTGATTTTCCTTTTAATTCCCAACCATTGCAATGTAGTTAACATCCTTAACCCAAACTACAATTTCATCCACACGCTCTCCATCGTCCTATGCCGTTTCCTTTTCACCCTCCACCCTGGCCCTACTGACTCTCATTTGCTGTCAAATTGGCTGCTTTCGGTTGAGTACTCTAACGAACTCTTGCGTCTACTACCCACCCCGAGTGCGAATTGTCGCTCATTCAGTTGGAGGTGTGTGAAACCAAGACATTGGTTTCAGCGCGGAGCTCTGCCCCGCCTCCTTCTTTGGTTATGGATTCATGTTGTGATTTTCTGGCGTTAGAATTATTTTTTTGGCTAGTCCCCCGGGTGGTGTATTTAGTTGTGAAGTTTGGCTACTCCAATCGGTTTGCAGGTTGTTTGGTGGTGATTTTGAGTTTTGGTTTTAATATAATGTTGTTTGTTTGTGGTTTAATTTTGTTTACCATTTGGGGCTTTTGAAGATTTGCATATGGTATGATCTAGGGAGCAGTTGTTATTTTGTGGTGAAATTTTGGTAGTGTGTGTGGTTAGTGGCCTCTAGGTTCCCAGCTTCTGCAGCTGGCCATCCCTCACATAGGCATCTAGGATTTTCTGTACTAGCCACTTTTGGTTCTTTATTTGTTGAGCCACTTATGCATTTCCGTTATTTACCATTTTGTACTCACAAAGAAACTATTACTCATGCTTTGTTTTGCATTAGTGGCGTTTCTTTTTATATGTGCTAGTCCCTTTTAGACTCGTTGTAAGCTATTTTATGTTCATTTGGATTTTGTTTAATGAATTACTCAACCTTTGACAAAAACAAAATCAAAAATAAAAAACAATAATATTCTCAAACATTTTTCCTATATGCAATTTGTCATTCCTTCTTAATATTAGGTATATATATTGTTAATAAATTTAAGGGACACTTTGGATGCGGTCCCTAGTTATCAATATTCTTTGATTGAAACCTTGTTAGTTTTTAATTTTTTATTGAGGTTCCTGACATTAATGTAATAATATAAGTTACTATATTTTTTTAAATTAAAAATTAAAAAATGAAATTTGTAATTGTTTATATTAATGAGATTTTAAATAAAACTCATAATTTATGGGATTAAAAATAATAAAATATAAATTATACTCTCTATTGTATTGTGTGTGCCACATCCCGGCCCGGGGCGGATCACTTCCCGGGCCCGCTCCACCACCGTAGCATGATATTGTCCGCTTTGGGCTTACCATTCCTTCACGGTTTTGTTTTTGGGAACTCACGAGCAACTTCCCAATACGTCACCCATCCTGGGAGTGCTCTGGCCTCATTCTCACTTAACTTTGGAGTTCCTACGGAACCCGAAGCCAATGAGCTCCCAAAAGGCCTCGCGCTAGGTAGGGATGGGAATATACATTTAAGGATCACTCCCCTGGGCGATGTGGGATGTCAAAATCCATCCCTCTTAGGGGCCTGACGTCCTCGTCGGCACACTTCCGCCCAGGGATTGGCTCTGATATCAATTGTCACATCCCGGCCCGGGGCGAATCACTTCCCGGGCCCGCTCCACCACCGTAGCACGCTATTGTCCGCTTTGGGCTTACCATTCCCTCACGGTTTTGTTTTTGAAGACTCACGAGCAACTTCCCAGTGGGTCACCCATCATGGGAGTGCTCTGGCCTCCTTCTCGCTTAACTTCGGAGTTCCTACGGAACCCGAAGCCAATGAGCTCCCAAAATGCCTAGCGCTAGGTAGGGATGGGAATATACATTTAAGGATCACTCCCCTGGGCGATGTGGGATGTCAGAATCCACCCCCCTTAGGGGCCCGACGTCCTCGTCGGCACACTTCCGCCCAGGGATTGGCTATGATACCAATTTGTCACATCCCGGCCCAGGTCCACCACATCTTGGGCCCGCTCCACCACCGTAGCATGATATTGTCCGCTTTGGGCTTACCATTCCCTCACGGTTTTGTTTTTGGGAACTCACGAGCAACTTCCCAGTGGGTCACCCATCCTGGGAGTGCTCTGGCCTCCTTCTCGCTTAACTTCGGAGTTTCTACGGAACCCGAAGCCAATGAGCTCCCAAAAGGCCTCGCGCTAGGTAGGGATAGGAATATATATTTAAGGATCACTCCTCTGGGCGATGTGGGATGTCACTGTGTGTGTGTGTGTGTGTGTGTGTACATATATGTATGGGTACATTAACCAAAATTAACAAAAAAAGTTATTGTACCAAAATATGGATACATTCTCAAATCAACGAAAAAAAATGTACCCATATAAGTTTAAACATGGATTAAAAATTTTGAATGGATTTTATATTAAAAAAGGGTACATTTTACATATAACAAATTGATATATTTGAGAATAGGTATATTTAAGATTAAAAAAATTGAAAAATTATATGAATGGTACATTTAAGATTAAAAAATTGAGAATCTTTTTATATATATAAAAAAAAAACTAATAGGTACAAACTTAATTTAATTTAATTTTTTATTATTTTGGAAATGTTTGAATTGAAAATTAATTAGAAGTTTAATAGAGGTGTGAGTATTAAACCCTAAATTAATTACTAATTTTTATATTAAAAATTATATAATAAACATGTAAATTCATTATCACATTAATGCTAGGGACTTGAATCAAAATTTGAGAATTAATAAGGTCTTAGTCAATGAACAGTAAGAACTAGGGACCGGATACTAATTTTTCCTGAATTTTCAATTAATTTTGTAATGTCATATATATAAGTGTATGATATCAAATATCAAAACTACTAATGAATTGTATCTAAAACTAAGAATGATCGAATTAAAATACAAAAGTTGATTACTAAATACATAATCTAAAGTAAAAAAGCTTTTAGAATTTTGGAATATTTCAGAATTCTTTTGTCGGTACAAGTTTGCAACATTCCAGAAAAATATGGGTTGAAAATTATTTAGAATTTTAGAATTTGTGTATGCATTATTCCAATTTTCATCCAATATGTTTAAAAACTGTTAATGACCGAATTTAAAATTCTAAACCAACTTGCACCACTTGGTGTAGACAATTGAGTACATAATTTTTGGCTACTCTCTCCATGTGTCAATGTTGTTTACTTCAAAGTGAATAGGTAGATCGAGCCTCACATGCCCATTTTTCGTTGGATTTAACAGTGTTTGATAAAAGTGGATAGTTTAGAAACAGGCAGTATGTAAAGGCCCTCATTTAAATTACTTCTTAATAGAATGGTTAATTTTTCTTAATTATTGTTTACATGTGTATAATTTGTTTTACTATTAATTAGCTTTTATTTTATTATTTATTATTTAGTTTAGAGTTGTGTTCTTTTATGTGTTTAGTTAGAGTTAAAAATAAAAGGGAAAGACAGTTGACTCATCCCAACCCGAATGTGTCCACTTGGACACTCAAACCGAGCAGTGTCGGCCAACACAGCTCAGTTTGGATGTCTAAGTAGACATTCGGGTCGGAGTGTGTCAGCAGCAATAGTAGGCACATGTTATTTTTCCCCTTCTCTCCCTTTTCGCATTCCTTTCCTTCTCGATCTCTCTTTACTCTTTTCTTTGTTCTCACTCCGCGACGGAGAAAACAAAAAGGGCAAAGAGGCATCTTCCTCCTATAGCATCTGTTTGGATTAAAACTTGATTTTGGCCCAAGGATGGAGTCGGCCCAAAAGGAGGCCTGGAGGAATAGAAGATCAAAACCCAGCCGAAACTTGGGAAAGCAGGAAAGGGCCTTTTCTGACTTGATACAATTCACAAGGGCCACTTGCCTACCTACCCAAGGACCAAGTGGTGTAGACTGATCACACTGCACAGCCCATAAAGTACTTTATGGTGGTATTACATGTAATAAAGCTGATGAGTCATCACCCTCAGACCGCATTCGAGCAAAACTGTCGCTACAGGAGCCAAACCGAGTCGTCTATAAAAGGAGGAAGAGAAGACAGGAATAGAGACACTTAATCAAACAAACAAAAGCACAAACTCTGCTCAAAAAGCCAGATTTGCCTTTCAAAACGAAGCTGTAGTCAGCCCAAGCCTTCATCCCATTCGGGACAAGCCTTCATCCCCCGCGGGATAATCTTTTCTCCCAACCTCTGTAATAGCTCTGCTACCTTGTTCTAACTTGTTGTAGTATCGATTCACCTTTTGTATTCTCCTTTCCCTTCTCCCCCTCTAAGCTTTCATACCTTTGACAGAACTACAAAGATAGGGACCTG